TTTTTCTTTCGTGGGTCATGCTTTTGAAGTCATGACTAAGAACTCTGCCCAGCCCCAGGTCACAAAGATCTTCTCCTACATTTGCTTCTAAAAGTTTTATAGTTTTACATTTTACATTTAGATCTGTGATGTATTTTGAATTAATTTTTGTATAAGATAGGAGGTTTAGGTCAATTTTTTCTTTTTTGTTTGCGTATGGATGTCCAATTGCTTCAACACCATTTCTTGAAGACTAACTTTTCTCAGTTGAATTACCTTTCCATCTTGGTCAAAGATTATCTGGTCATATTGTGTGGGTCTTCTCCTGCATTGTATTGTGTTCCATTGATTTATGTGTCTGTACCTCTACCAAGACCACACTCTTGATTACTTTAGTAGTAAAGTATTATGAAGTGAGCTGCTTGATTACATTGGCTTGATAGTAAATCTTAAAATTGGCTAGTGTCCCCAAACTGGCCAGTTGCAAAAAAAAATAAATAATTGCCTAGTGAAATGTCGCGGACTTTATTCTTTTTCAAAATAGTTTTGCTATCCTAGTTCCTTTGCTTTTTATATAAATTTTAGAATCAGCTTGTCTGTATTGACAAAAAAGTCTAATTGGGATTTTGACTGGAACTGTTTTAAATCTACAGACTAATTTGGGGGAGAACTGCCATCTTCACTATGTTGAGTCTTCCAATCCATCAACATAGCATATCTGTGTACTTACTTATATTTTCTTTAAAGGATGTTTTAATTTAATTTAACTTATTTTTAGTTTTGGCGGGTGGCTGGTAACAGGGATTGAACCCTGGACCTTCGTATTATCAATACCATACTCTAACCAACTGACTAGCAGCCAGCTCTTTTTTTAATTTTAATTTTTGTAGTCTTTAGAGGACTCATTTATTTTTTATACACACAACTTTACAAGGTCTGAAAAGCTGCTAATGTCTACTAGTAGCCTTTGAAAACTGAAAACATGACTAAAACCTAGTAATGGAAATAAAATGGCAATAAGATCTGAAATTCTTTTTTTTTT